TTTTTTTTTTTTTTTTTGAGTATTGCTCCTATGGTTCTGGACCTCTAGCAGCCATGTCAGGTGCTTTATATCTGCCCACAACTCCAGAATCAGGGAGCTACGACACCTTTGTCCTTTCTGGGCACCTGCACGTACCTTCACACAAATATATGTGTGCACATAATTGAAAGTAATAAAAATAAGTTTTACAGAAGTTTGGGGGCTGGTGAGATGGCTCACCAGATGAAGACAGGTGCTCATGCAATGAGGACAGAAAACGCCATGCTTAGTTTGTGGGACGAGAGAAAAGCAACGAGTGAACTTGGTTTATAAGCGTTGGTTTGCCGACGCTGCTCTTGAGGAGCCTCCTTTTCTAGAGAATGGTTCAAGAACTACATGGTTGGGCTGGAGAGATGGCTCAGTGGTTAAGAGCATTGCCTGCTCTTCCAAAGGTCCTGAGTTCAATTCCTGGCAACCACATGGTGGCTCACAACCATCTGTAATGAGGTCTGGTGCCCTCTTCTGGCCTGCAGACATACACACAGACAGACTATTGTATACATAATAAATAAATAAATATATTAAAAAAAAAGAACTACGTGGTCAAGTCTCACCAGTGTCAAAGGAGGAGAGATTGTCTGAGGATGTTTAAGTTGCTTTTGAAGAGGCTCACAAAAGAATACCCTGGGTCTGCCGCCAAGCGTGTACATTGAGTGCGAAGTTTAGTGTTTGGAGGGGCAGCCATAAACTACCAAGAACAAAGGTGATTTGTAGATTTTTTTCTTTTACTCTTTGGGCCCCACCAACCAGTTCCCAAATAAATACACAAAGACTTATTCTTACTTATGAATTCCCAGTCTTCTTCCTCCATAGCTAGATATGTGATTGGTTCCTGGCATCTTCTTTTGTAGGTGGAGACTGCTCATTTGTTTCCTGGCAGCCCAGACCCAAAATAATCACACAGAAACTATATTAATTAAAACACTCTGTGGCCTTTTAGCCACAGCTCACGCTTCTTATTAACCAACTCTTGCATATTAAATTATCCTATTTCTATTATTCTGTGTATTGCCATGAGGCTCGTGGTTTACCAGTTAAGGTTCTGGTGTATGTCTCCTTCGGCAGCTACATGGCATCTCCCTGACTCTGCCTACTCTCTGCTGTAGCCAGCACAGTCTGGATGCCAAGACTGGTGTGTGTGTGTGTGCTGGGATTGACACGTGGAGGCTTCTTTTCAGGTGGAAGAACAGCAACCTTTATTTTGCCCAGCAACCTTTTATACCTCTACTCCTTCTGTGGAAACCAACCGGCCAGAAAGAACACAAACATCCTTGTCAATTACAGACCACAAGGAAGTTCTGCTGTCAGTCAGGAGGAGTGAGGGCAGCTGGATCACAACATTCTCGCTCTATATCTTTTCCAGTTTGGCTATATTTTGCCCTGCTATAGGCCGAAGTAGCTTCTTTATTAAGCAATGGTAATAAAACATATTCATAGCATATGAAAGGGAACCCCACATCACTCCTAGCTCTCTTTTTCTTCTCCCCTTCTCTCTCTCTCCTCTCTCTTATTTATTCTCTCTGCCTGCCAGCCCCGCCTATTTCTCTCTCCTCTCTAGCTATTGGCTGTTCAGCTCTTTATTGGGACCAATCAGATGGTTTAGACAGGCAAAGTAACACAGCTTTACAGAGTTAAACAAATGCAACATAAGGGACTGTAATACATATTTGCATCATTAAAAAAATATTCCACAGCATAAACGGATGTAACAATTCTTAAACTATATTCCTCAACGAATGAATGCAAAGAATCCATATTGTATTAGTATAAGATGTGTACTATACTGCAAAACAAAACATCAAAAACTTCCTTTCAAAATAAGTTTAACTCTGCATGCTCCTCTCTGGAGCTTTTTGGCGCCCCTTGCAAAATTCATGTCTAACACCCGGCAAGATTAGCACGTCGACTCCCCGCTCAGTCAGGCTCATCACGAAGCGGGGGCGTGCTGGAAACCGCACCTACTGTGGTCTTGTCACAAAGCCAGAAGCAGGAACCGAGAGGGTGTTCCCCGCCTTTCCTTTGACGGAGGCCCCGGGAGGAGTCACGTGGGCCCGGAGAGCGCTTCCCCAGCCTTGCGCGGTGACGCGCCTCGGGTTGCCAGGGGGCGGGGCGGCGCGCGGAAGGGGCGGGGCGGAGGCTGCCGGCGGAGGCGGAGCGGCGCAGGGGCGGGCGGAGCGGGGCGGGGCGCCCGGCGTATTATGGGATGCGGCGGTGGAATGGCGCTGGGCGCGTGATTTTGAACAAACCCGGGTCTGTGTTTCGGAGGCGCCGCCGCCGCCGCGGCTGCTGGGAGCCCCGGGAGCGCGGCGCGAGGAGGAGGCGGCGGCGCCGCCGGCTGGGGTGAGTGTCAGCTCCGGAGACCATGGCTGGGCGGCGGGGACCGGCGCCGGGCCCGCGGGGCGCTCGCACGGCCGGAGAGCGCCGGCCGGCTCCCGGGCAGCTGGGCCGGTGGGCCGCGGCGGGCGGAGGGTCGGCGGGGCGCGGCCACGAGCCGCTGGCGCCCGAGAGCGCGGCTGTCACTCGGCGGGGTCGGCGCCGCCCGCTCGGCGCTCGGGAGCAAGGGCCCGGCGGCTGTTGACAGGGTCTCTGCGCGGCCCGGGAAGCCTCCGGCGGCCCCGGGTTTCTGGGAACCGGTTTTGCTGCTGTGTCATTTCGTACCAGCGCCTCCTTTCGCTGCTGCCCGCCGCCGCGTTCTTCCTACGCCCCTTTGTATGGACTCCTCTGGGTGTGTGTCCGTTTCCCTCGCGAAGCCCACCAGCCAAATGTCATAATGTCCCCGCGGTGCACGGGGGAAGGGAGCGGGCTGGGACTCAGCCTGGCCAAGCAACGGTAAACAATCCGGCTGTTGGTGGGGGAATAAAGTTGAAAGATGAAGAAGCTGGGAATCCCTTACACGCTCAGCCTCTAGCGGGCTGTATATAAAAACGCGCTGTGAGTGGGTGGGAGACAACACTAGATTACGCCCGAGCCTGCTGACTTTTATATGGAGTTGTCATTCAAACGAGGTAGGGAAATGGCTTCTGTTTCGACCTTATTCTTAGGTATCCAGTAGGCTAGCCCTATTCACAATCCTGAGGTTCAGTTTGTTCATTTCTAATAGGTCTTTTAGACCTTATATTGTAGCTTAATGATAAAGAATACGGATTTTGAACTGGTAATTATTAAGGCTTTCTGAAATTAAACAGCTGATTTTTGGAGAATGCTGGTCCCGTTAAGAATTCTTGGCAGCTTATGTGTTCTTTTTCTGAGATGATTAAGCATTACTTGTGTCCTCTTTCTGCTACTTATTAAACGACGAGAGGGACTGGAAGGGGTGGATAGGTAATTTCGGAATCTTGATCTAAAGCAAGCTGCTGTATTCTCACCGCGTCGTACCATCGTATCAGCAGCAGATGGTTTTTAATTTGGAAACTTAGATCCTAAAACCACTTGGCAAGAGATTCTAGCGAAGAGCTGTGTTTTCTGTATGTTAGAAGTTGATCATTCCTGTCTCCACAGTTGGAATCAATATATTTTAAATTTAGTGGCACTGGTACAACTTGAAACTAACAACAGATTGACGTAATGGTGTTCATGGACAGAAATGCCCAAAGTTAGGTGGAGAGGAAAAATAGTTCAGAACTTTATTAAAAATTAAAAAAAAAGAAACCAAAAACACTATGTGTAGGGTCAGCGCCTGTAATTAAGGGTGCCTGAGAATCAGGCATGCACATGGAAATAGCTATACTGTCAAAGTATTCTGTGGGTGGAGTAGAATGCCAAAGTTGGTGAGTGACGTTAGAGGTGTCCAATGACTCTGAATGTACCCGAAACAAGGTCTACCATCTCCAGTGTTTTTCTGGAAATGAGAGTTTGGGGTCTTTACTGTTCTTGTGTCAGATTCCGAATAACTTGCCCTCCTCCTCGCAAGTATCCCGCAGTTTTCACGACTTCCCTTGGCGTTTCTGCAGGGCCCGCGGGAGCTGGGTGTCTGGTCCTGGGTGATAGGTCTGGCCCGGCTCGCCGGTGAGCGCTGGAACCTCCGGTGTGCGTTTGAAGGTTGGCGGGGCGGGCGGGAGGTTTCCCCGGATATGTGGGTGTGTGCTGCTCGGGAGGGCGGGCCGGGGCGGGAGCAGGAGGAAGGGGGAGGTGACTGGTGGTGGCGGCGGCTGCCGGGGCTCGGCTGTCGGGGAAGCTGCTGAGCTGTGATGGTGATGACGAGGTGAAAATGGCGGATCTTTCGAAATACAATCCCGGCCCCTGACATACCAGAGGCGGCGGCCGCGGCGACGTCGCCACCCCGGCTCCCTCCTGAGCCCCCGGGTACCCTGTAGTGCTCCATTTCGGGCAAACTGGAAAAGGAAGCTGCTGGACAGAGCTACCGTGCACAGGCAAAACAAGCACTTGCCCGGGCTCGGAATTGCCGGGACCTTCTGGAGCCCGCTCTTCGGAGCCGGAGGGTGGAGAAAGCGGCAGCCTCTGGAGGTAGAGGAGAAGCGGGTTACCCGGGGGGGTTCTCTGTCTGCAGAGCTCTTTATTTGGGAGCTGGGGGAGGAAATGCGTCGCGGATCAAGAGTGACTTGTCCGGAGTGCAAAGAATCAGTAGCCTCATAATGACATCAACATTATTATTATTATTATTATTTTGAGTATCAAGGCTGAGTTCGCTTACACCTAAGGCGGCTGTTGAGGCCTAGAGGAACCACTAGTATTATGATTTCCTGATAGAATACTTAAAATACCACTCGGTGGGGATTGGTTGATGGTGTTCAGCAGTTTAGGGAGTTGTGCTTCTTTGGGGAGGCAGAGCATTGGCATTTTCTTCCACATTTAATGTTGGTGACAGAGCATAGTCTAACTTGTTGGGGTGTGGATCCTCACCTGTTTTTGAGCATATGGACCAGTGTTGTAGCAATCAAAATTTTTATATGGCGCTGTCATCCTTAGGGTGGCACCTTTGAACCTGCCACTTGGCAAATAACAATCGATACTGTAATCATATTTTCTGCCCAGTTTTAAAGGGAATTTCTTCTTTGTCCCCATCTAATTTCATGAATTCAGAGAAGGAAGTTATGAAAGATTTTATAATAGACTGTATACTACAAGTGAAATTCCATTCGGGAGCACTATTCTTCTGAGTTCACTCTCACTGTCAGAGATATGATGGCTTGATGCAAGCATTGAGCGCATTGCTGATGGTTGACACCTGTTATAGTGCAGATGCAGCGTCTTGGTTCGGGTAACTAGAGCACTGGTTCCTTAGTTATAAGGCTTGATTGACCTTACTTTTGTCATCTGATGGTCCTACTATGTTAGACTGTGCTGTAGGGTCCTTAGGCAGCCTCCTTGCATACAGTAGGAATGATACTGAACTGTTACAGGTTTTACAAAATTTTATACACCGGTTTGGGGTCCTCCTTTTTTCTTCAGCTTAAGTGGTAAAAGGGTTGGGTCAGTGACCTTGCATTATGAGAGTAAACAGGTTAATATTTAAGAAATGGCCTACTAGTATTTGTGAGTTGCAATAGATTTACTTTCTCAGGCTGTCTATGAAGTGATATGATAGTACTGTTTGTTAGCATATGGTATATTGTGTATACACAGGGCAAATATTCTGTCTGAATGTGTGTAGTTTGGACTTTGAACTTTGACTCACTACAAGAATGAGAAGTCAAAGAGTGTTTTATAGTAAATATCTGAACAGTACTTAGAAGATATAATGATTGTTGTTCATTAGAAGTATAATTTGAGGGGACAGTCAGATAGATCAGCTGGTAAAGGCACCGGCCATGCCAGCGATTCTGAAGCTGAGTTGAGTCCCCTGGGTCGCACATGGTGACAGAACACTACTGTCACAGGTTGTTCTGACGGACTCACGGCAAGTGTGTTTCCCTACAAGTAGACAAATGTAAAAATATCAAAATTGTGGCTGAAAATGTAGCTCATCCATTAAGAGTGTGTGTGCTTGTCCAGAGTTCCCAGCACCCATGGGACAGGGCTTCATGCCTTTTAACTCTAGTTCTAGGGACTCTGATGCCCTTTTCTGGTCTCCTTGAGAACCTGCGCATATGTGCATATACACAAAACAAAAAATGAATCTTTTTTAAAAAGAAGAAAACATTATAAATACACACACATGATTTGATCTTGAATTATTCAGTAGAAATTTGTTTTTTAAATTAAATTATGCTGCAATTTTTTTTGGTCCACAGCAACTAGCTTACTTAAAGTAAGAATCTTTATAACATAAAATGCTTTGTCATTGGTTTTCTGTTTTATGATGTGTCTTGCTGTGTAGCCCAAGCTAACTTTTTGTGTGGGTGGATGTTTTGACTGCATGTCTGTCTGTGCACTGCATGCATGCAGTGTCCACAGGCCTTGAACCCTCTGCAGCTGGGGATGCAGACGGCTATGGACTGCTTCCATGTGGGTACTGGGTCTCTTGGAATAGCACCTACTGCCCCTAACTTCTAACTAAGTCCATGTTCAGGCTAATTCTAACTACCAATTCTGTTGTCTTTTTTGTTGATTCTTAGTGATTATTTCTCCTCCCCATTTTTAGATAATCTTTTGTGTAGCTTGGCTGGCCTGAAATTCATAGTGGTACAGACTAGCCTCTAACTCAGATCAGTCCTTCTGCCTTCCAAGTGCTGGGATTATAGGTATGAGCCACCATGCCTGGTTTGTGAAAACTTAAACTACCTTTTTTTTTTTCTTTCTTTTTCTTCTTCTTCTTTTTTTTTTTTTTTTTTTTTTTTTTTGGAGATGGATTCTCTATGTAGCCCTGGCTGTCCTGGAAGTCACTATGTAGACCAGGCTGGCCTTGAATTCAAAAAGGTCCACCTGCTTCTGTGTGCTGGGTTTAAAGGTATGTGCCATTACAACTATTTGTGATTAATTTTAAACATTTTTTCTTTTTTGAAATTATAATATAATTACATCATTTCCCCCTTCTCTTTTTCCCCTCCAAAACCTCCCATATACTCCTCGTTCTTTTTCATTAATTGTTGTTAAATAGGGGAGGGTGTGTGTGTATGTGTGTGTATTTCTAAATACATAAGTACAACCCCCTCAGCCTATATAATTAAGTTTTTTGTATGTGTATATGTGTATGTTTCAGGGCTGATCTTTTGTTATTGGCTAAAACTGGTGTTCTCTTCCCTAGGGAAGACTATTTCCCAATCTCAACATTTCTTAGGGTAATTACTTTTCTTTTTTTAGCCTTTTGAGAAGAGTTTCTCTATATAACAGCCCTGACTGTCCTGAAATTTTCTTTGTGGACTGGGAGTAATTACCTTTTAAAGCTCAATGTGCTGTTTTTTGTTTGTTCTGTTCTGTTTTATTCTTATTTTTCGAGACAGGGTTTCCCTCTGTAGCCTGGCTGTCCTGGAACGCCCTCTGTAGACCAGGCTGGCCTCGAACTCCCAGAGATCTCTCTGTCTCTCCCTCCCAAGTTGGAATTAAAGGTGTGCGCCACCAGCTGCCTGGCACTAAAGCTCAGTTTTTAGATCATTTTAGTGAGGAAAATTGCCTATTGGTAACTTAAGTGTGATAGAATGACTGAAAGAAGCATTTGCCTCTGGAGAAAGTCAGGTGTCTGCTTTGTTTGGAGAGGAACAATACAAATGTTTTGCTTGGGTACTTTTTTTCTTTTTTTGAGACAGGGTTCACTGTTTATTTGTCAAACAGGTTGACCATCCTTAATCTGGTCCAAAATGGTCACTCAGAAACTTTTACATTTTAGAACTTTTCAGATATTGATGTAGAATAACATTAGGAGGAAAAGCTATACATATATCCCCAATGTGAAACTTGAGAATATGAAATACTTCTGGTTCCAAGAGTTTTGAATAAGGGATAGTCAGCCTGTGTTAGGGTTTGTCCGTGGGCCCTATACTATGCTAGGAATATGGGAAAACCTGATTTAAATATTATTGCCCCAGAGGGCTTTTGGTTTAAGAATCATTGGAGGTAAAACTGAAACTATAGGCTGAAAGGGCCTTACTGCAGTAGACTTTGAGTTGCATACAGCTTTTGAGTAGAATGGCAGCCTTACAAATATACCTAGGGACATAAGTCCCGTAATGTTTACATAAGATGTAGTGTACTTGAGAGGGGTCAAGTAAAAAAAACACCATAGTTTACTCCAAGCTGGAGATTTGGGTACTGTTGGTTGCAAAGGGATGGAGTAATTCACACATGATTCACATGTTATATGACAGATTAGTATTTCTGTGGAAGTATGACAAAAATTTAAAATTAATTTACTGTTTTGTTTGTGAGCTCACATGCTGTGGCCCATATATGGAGATCAGAGGACAACTTAGAGAGTTGGTTCTCTTTCCACCATGTGGACCCATGGACCAAACTCAGATCATTAGGCATGGTAGCAAGCACCTTTATCAGCTAGCTGGGCTGCCTCTCCAGCCCCAGATTAAAAGAGTTTGTCTTATTTTTTTTTTCTGCATCACATTTTGGCATGCTTTATTGAGAAATACAGAAAATTATGGGGCAAAAGGAGAAAAACATAAAAATAGGAAATTAAGATACACAATGGCTGAAGAAATGAATATAATTTAAAGGTGATGGTATTTAGCTGGGTTTTAAAGGCGCTCACCTTTAAATTCAGCACTCAGGAGAAAAAGACACATGGATTTCTGTGAGTTTGAGACCAATTTGGTCTAAAGAATAAGCTGTAGGCTAGATAGGGGCTACACAGTGAGACTCCTATCTAAAATAATAACAGTTTTAAAAAGACATTTGAAAAAAATTATGTGGGAAATATTATCTAGTGTTATTTTCATTTTTTATTTATTTAGGACATACAATGATGACCTTACTGGATGTCAGTAAGGCTATGAACATGGGAATCCAAGCGGTTTAGGTTAGCATCTGTCTTAGTTTTGGGTCTGGTTGTTGTGTTAGGATACCTGAAGAAACCATTGATTGTGACTCACTATTCTAGGCTCCAGTCTGTCATTGCAGGATAGTGAAGGTGGTGGGACCCTGAAGCAGCCAGTCATATCCTCCAGTATTTGGGGATCACATCTCAAACTGCTTACACTAAGAGTCCCTGTTTCTAGCTGTCTTTCGTGACTCAGAGCAGCTGTGGTTATGGGCACAAGACTGCTCCAGAAGGGGGACAATCCATCACGGTGAGGAAAGCAGGGCAGCAGGAGCCACACTGCATCAGCAGTCTGGAAGCAGAGGCAAGCTCTGATGGAATATTAAATGCATAAAAACAGAACTTAAAGGGAGAAGCTGCTTAGAGAAGCAAGCAGGGGATGTGGAGTTAGAGCGCACACATGTCTTCATAGTGACCTTGTGAGTGTGAGATTACCTGTGTACTGACTGATTTTGTGTCAACTCGACACAAGCAGGAGTCATCAGAGAGAAAGGAACCTCAGTTGAGGAAATGCCCCATGAGATCCAGCTGTAAGGCAATTTCTCAATTAGTGATCAGTGGGGAAAGACCCAGCCCCTTG